ATCCCTCTCTGTAGCTCCATCCCTCTCTGAAGCTCTATCCCTCTCTGCAGCTCCATCCCTCTCTGCAGCTCAATCCCTCTCTGTAGCTCAATCCCTCTCTGTAGCTCAATCCCTCTCTGTAGCTCCATCCATCTCTGCAGCTCTATCCCTCTCTGCAGGTCCACCACTCTCTACAGCTCTATCCCTTTTTGTAGCTCCCCATCCCTCTCTGCAGCTCTATTCCTCTCTGTAGCTCCATCCCTCTCTGCAGCTCTATCCCTCTCTGTCAGAAAGACTTCAGATTGAGTTTTATCTGTTTCTCTCAGGTGGGAAAGAGAAAACTAGCTGAACACTGACTACAAGCAGTCAGACTGATAAGAGAGAAACATTTTGGTCTTAAATTGTAAGAAAATGAGACGTGTTTATAACACAAGCCCCAGATTTACTGTTGCAATTTGTTGATGGCAATGTATCCCAACTTTTTTTGGAAAAATGACACCAGGAAAGCACAGTCGTAGGCTAGAACCAGCTTCAGTCCTTGATTTTTAGACCTAATGCAACAAATTTATCTTTATTATCCGTGTGTGTACGTGTTTGTGTGTCTGTTATAGCTCATAAACTACTGGATGAATTTTCGTGAAACTTGCAGAAAGTAATCACCGAATGTACATCCACAAAAGGTTGACTTTAGGAACCAATATAATTCAAAATGGCTGCCACAGCCAAATGACATTCATAAGCACAGATATAACTGTAACTCTGCAAACTTTACAAATATTGACCTAAACTTTGATGTGATAGCAGCTAAATATGAGCCAATACCTATTAGGAGTCAACATTGTTTGTCTGTTTTTCAGACCAACATTTCTCACAAACCAGAGATTAGATTTTAAAGAACCTTTCAGGAAATGTTCATTGGATGTACCTCTTCAACTGATTTACTTTTGGAATCAACACGATTCAAAATGGCAGCCACAGCCAACTGACCTTTGAAACCACTGCGATGGCTATAATTCTGTCAGTTTGACAGATTCTGTGCTAAAGTTTGTCGTGGCTGTAGTTGGAAGTCATTCACAAAACTTACTCCAAGTTTGACTGATCTCTGCTGAAACCTCTGCATTAACTTTAGGAGTCAACCTTGTCTGTTAGTAAAATAGCTCGAGCCACTAAAGAGACATTTTTGCAAAATTTATGAAAATATGAAACAAAATTTATTATGTATGTCTTCTAATTTAGCTTAAAATGTTTTTTTACGTTAACCCAACTCTTGTAAAACTTGTGTGTCGTTTAGTAAACACAATAGCTAAAAATAAATAAATTATAATAACCAAAAAGCTACATAGCCACATTGATATTTTCCCTAAGACTTTAGTTTTCCCAGATATGCTACAGTTTAAAATGCACAATTTGACATAGTTAAATAAATTAATTCGATGTAAAATTGACTTATTTTGGTGCTTGACTTACAGAAGGCACAAAAACTCAAGAAGCCTTTTAAAAACGACAGTTTCTGATAAATCTTTGACGAGTCTGTCTCAGATCTAATCAGCATACATTGTGCTTCATGGTGAATCTGGGTTTAAAACAAATTGCCACACTGCAAATCTGGGGGGTGTTAGCTGGAAGTCCAGGGCCCCCTCTATTGACCATAGACACTGTACACAGAACATTTTTGTGAAACTGAAAAGCCTAACATATAAACAACAATCCTTCATGTTGGGTCATTTCACAAATTATACACAACTCCACATTACACCTGTAATTTTGAGGCAAAGCTTGAGAGACTCAAACATTTCTGGAGACTAATATTAGAAAAAATAAATCACTTTTTAAATTAAACTGAGCCAAATCATTCTTGTGGTGACAAATCAAAATGTAGCTCAAGGACTTTTTTTTTAAAGTGTCATATTTTCTAAATAAAGTCCCAATAAATAAAGCCAACAATGACCAACATTGTTGAAACACTTGGCCACATGTGGTGCTGTTTGCTGCATTCTTCAAATTAACATTTCACCTTCGTGTGAACTAATATCTTTGTCTCTCCATAAAACTTCACTATTCACTTCCTGGTGCTTCATATTTTTCTTCCACATTTAATAACGTACCATTCCTCTTTAATCCTCACCACCATACATGCACAAAAACAGAAAGTTAACAAAAACTTAACCCAAAATTAGTAACTGTTATGACCCAGCTCAGCCAGGAAAATGGGAGGTAACATTAATGGGGGCTCGTCCGGGATGAGCTGCAGTAACATGTAAGACCGTCACCTAGAGAGTGGGCCTGCCTTGCAAGTGATATGAAGAAAGGAATGCGGGTGAGATGAACACAAAGCACATTATTCAGACTGCCATTCGTACGGGTCAAAGTGCCGAGGACCATCATCCAGAAGCAGTTTGAGGTAGTCTGCCTCAGACGGTCTGTAAGTCAAAGATGGGTCGACTGGTCGATTCATCTCAAATCTCAACTTTGAGTTGAAACAGGAAGTGCTTTTTTTTTTTATCAAAACAAACTTGTCAAGTTAGCAAAAATCTAATCTGGAAGGGAGAACTGTGGAAGACGCCAACTAAAGTCTAAATAGTCCCTTTTGTTCCTTTTTTAAAATTTCAAAACCAAACTTTTAATTCCCAAATCTTGTCGGTAGCAGAGATTTTTACCTGCTGATTCTTGAGCTTCACGTGGATTAATGTCTTTTAAATGATATGTTCAAACCTGAGTTTCCATTATGTCGAGGTGTTTTTCACCAAACTAGTAAAACGGAAATTCCTTTATTCATATTTCTTTATGTGTTAGCATACATGGTTTCAGTGGAGCCACTAGTATCTATTAACATTTAAAAATGAAGTGCTGCAGATATGTACAGTCTGAATATATCAACAATGATAGTAACAATAGATGGAATTATATAATAATCTTTTTTGTGTGTGTATGTCATCTGTCTTTTTGGCCCCTCGTGCCTTAATATTTAAGATACGGGAGAACAAATTCAAATAAAGACTGCAAAACATACGGGCATTTATTCGTGTGTGTGTTTTGCTCACCAAGCAGAGTGTACCTGTTTAAATTGATGATCTACGAGCGTGGACTCGCTGGGCTCGTGTAATGACTGTAACAGATTGGCTGAGTTCTCCATGCCGTGGCACGACGACGAGTGACAGATGAATGAAAGTTTTACAGAAAAAGGGAAGATCTCGGGTGAAAACGTGTAGAGGCAAATTGAAGTACGCGGGGGTTCCTGACACCCATGAAACACAGCCTCGTTATAAAGGGATTCATAAACAAAACAGAATATTAAATAAAAATACAACAAAAATGCAACAGAAAAGGCAACACTGCTGGTTATCAGTCTCCTCTCTCTTTTCCACATCTCTTATTCGTTATGCCCATTTTTTGTCGCTGGTGCTTGTGTTTAGACAGGAGACGATACACTTTTCTAGTGTCTCCCTCTCAACCAGCTTACCTTTGACTATCCCTTACTTCTGTTTTTCCTCACTTGCTCTCTAAAATTTAGAATTCAGCAAACTCCTTGGCACATTTCTCAGTGAAGGAGACACGAATTTCCTCCTCTTCATAGTCGTCGAAGTTGCTGGTGTCGCCAGGTCCTTTGAACTTTGGGACAAACGGAGCTTCCACCTTAAAAAAAACAAACAAAATTGTATTAATAGTAAAGACCCATCAAAAAAACATATCGACTGGATGCAAACAGGGATGGGCAGGGATTTTTGAGAAGTCCAATATAGGCAAACTGAAAGAATCAATGCTAACGTCAAAACCGTGTGCTTTTTATTTACACCGTTGTAGTTTATTTTGAAAGGATTACAAAGTGGAAACTATAGTCACGGCTCATCTTTACTGCCAGAATATAGTAGTCCCTCGATACTTTGCGGTTCGACATTCGTGGACTCACTCTTTCGTGGGTTTTCCAGGCAAGATTGTACACAACACAGGATTGGCTGATTGATGGAAGGCGAGCAACCAGAGCATTGTGCTGAGGGGCGGACTGGCCATCGGGAGCACCGGGACATTTCCCGGTGGCCTGGCCCGCTCAGTGACGCCGAATGGCCCCCTCCTTTATCTTTTTGAGTCTGTCTGTCACAGCAGAGCAGAGACACACAACAGGTTGCGTGCCCGCCTGATGTGTGTCTATGCTCTGCTGTGAAAGACAGCCTCCGAAAGACAAAGGAGGGGGCGGAGTCTGTCTTTCCCCATCGCTGCTGTGGGAGCTGCAGTGAGGCGGATACCAGAGTGAGCGGCATGGATTGTTTATTTAAAATAATCAAGCATGACCCAAACCGAGCCTTTAGTCCCCCCTCAGTAGCTATGTTTACATGTGCAAAATTCTTTGATCGGATTGAAATGTACTCAGATCAAATAATTCAATTGCATCATTTACATTGGCACAATCCGTTCACGACGAGTGTTTACATGCAGCGGAACGTATAGAATAGAAGTACTGACATGCGCAGAGTGGTAAACTTTCCTTAAAAAAAAACACAGAAGAAGTTCTACTTCCATTCTACTTCCGCGATGAACGTAAACAAACCTGAGCGCCCAAAATGGACCCGCGCCAGATTTTTACGACGTGGAGACATTACTGCACTCCCTGATTGATTTACAGGTAAAACAGATCATTTTGATCTCTTTCAAAGTTTCTAGTAGAAATGTTGTTTCGCTTACCGACCAATTTTGCTTCCTTGACATATTAGCATCTAGCTAGTCAGAAATACGTGAGGTAGACATAGATCACACATGCGCAGTCAGGTCAGTTTTCCACAATCGAAAAAAAATGAACAGATTTAGTGTTTACATGCACACCGTTCGGATTATGAATCGGCATAAACCACTCCTCTCATTCGGATTACACATTCATTTGGATCGAGCTGAATCAACAAAGATAATCCAAACGGGGCCTTTACATGACACATTTTATTCCGAATTACTGTTTAATCCGATTACTTATGTCCATGTAAACATAGCTACTAAGCGGGCCAGGCCACCAAGAAATGTCCCGGTGCTCCCGATGGCCAGTCCACCCCTGGCCGCTGATTGGCTCAGTAACCATAGCATCAGTCTGTCTCTCTTTCACTGTGCTCTTTTAGAGCATTTAGAGAGTTTAGAACATGGCACGAGTGTGGGAAAGGTTTATAAAGCCTTAATATAGATATAAATAAATACTAAAATAAATATAACATCCCTACTTTGCGAATTTTCACATATCGTGGGGGTGTCTGGAGTGTAACCCCCATGTTAAATGAGGGACTACTGTACTTGCATACCCCCTGCCACATCTCTCTATTGGACCGGTGAAAATGAAGGAATATAAAGATCTCCAGCGAGCAGAATTACCAGCAGCACATCTCTGTATTCAAGGCTTGTTTCATTGGAGGGTTTTCCAGTTTTATTTGAAGAGAAACTAAATAATTATCGACAAATTTTGAAGCGTGTTTTTGCTGAAAATGCCCATCCACAGAAGCAAGGTCGTGCACAGTCTATGGACAAACGCACACCTTTTTCTGATAAATTGCGATCCAGTCGGTTGTTGCAAACCACTTGTGTCCTTTGATGTCGTTAACTCCGTTTTTCAGATTCCCGTAACGTTTCGTGAGATCCACCTGGAGATGATAGCAACACGTAATTTATTTTAAATCCTGACATCTTGGGGAAAAAAAAACTCACGACACACAAACTCAGAGTGTCTGAGTTACTTGTGCTCACCTGTAAAAGGTTCCTCAGTAGGTCCTTAAGATCTGAACTGAAGTGAGAGGGGAAACGAACCTGCAAGGACAAAGATCGAGGAAAAAAGAAATGAAGAAAGCAGCTTCTGGTAGTTTTCATATACAGTATGTGGTCAGATAAATATTTTGCTTCAACTATTTCTTTTATTTCCTACATTGGTTGCAAAACTCAGATGCTTTTAGAAGAAATCAACAAAGTTCTGTCAGAAAACAGATTTTCTGCCTTCTCTTCTTAACAGAACTGTTTGAGTTTAATTACATTTGTTGTGTAGTTCATGTAATTTGACAGATCTTTAGAGTGGCTGGTTTGCTCTCATATTTTTCTGCTAACACATTGAATTGTGCGACTCCTCCGCCATAAAGGGAAGGCTTTTATCCTTTACGGACTGCTCAAGGTGGATCTTGATTTCCAGTACGATGCTTGGTTGGTTTAAGATGATTCAAAAACATTAATAGAATAAAAAATCCATAGGAAGTCCTAATTTTTTCCTTTTGTTCTAAGAGCGATTGATCTACCTGCAACACTAAAAGGAAAATAGCCCCAAACCATAATTTTACCACCACGATTAACAGTTTGGATTAATTCTCTCATCTTCACTCATCAAATCTAACAGTCCCAGTCAATGGAGACTGTCAATCAAATGAATATATACAGCGAGACTGGAAATCCAGCAGCTTCCTATGAGACATGTCCCTCGGCAGCATTTTATTATCATATGAAACAATTTCTTCTCAGATGAGGATGGTGCTTCGGCTTTGACTTTGACTGTGCACGATGTTTTGTGCACCCAGACTGAAGAAGCCTCCTGGTTCAAGTATTTATAGATGGACTAAGCCTAAATATCTAAACTCTAGACCACTGCATCGTCATGTGTGGTCTAAAGAGCAGATTTTGGCATCAGCAGTAACATTTGCTTTAGAACACTTAAGATGTAATAATTTGTTGCATTTTTTAAAATCAATAATTAGACACTAAAATAAACTGACGTATAAGTTTGATCATTTTTAAAGGGTTTAATTACTGAAAGAACCAAACTAACATAGAATATCTAGATCAGTGGTTCACAAACTGGGGTCCCCAGAACCCCGGGGGTCCGTGAGCCGGTGCTTGGCATTCCACAAAACAAACAAACAAAAAAAAACAACCTGCCCTCTATTAGCGTTCCGGCATCGATCGGTTTACAAATGAAGCCCTGTTTCTTGGTACGACTGCTGCCGTTATGATTCTGTTCAGTTTTCTATAATAACTTAAGTAACAATACATTTGTTGTGCTCATTATGTGAATAGGTAAAAGGTTTAAAGTGGATTTTGATCTGTTATTTTTCTCAAAACTGTAATTTTTGAAAAAGTTGAAATACATTTTTTGTTAATTGAGTGAGTCTTGGATGGAAAATACCCCTTGTTTAAAAGTATAAAAATTGTATTAACGCTATTAAAGAACAGGTCTTAGGTATTTATTTTACATAAATACTTCCATTTCATTAAAGAGACAAGCATTTATGTTTAATAAACATGAGTGTTATGAGGGGGTCCCTGAAACTTGTTCTCTCCTGTAAGGGGTCCCTGAACCCAAAACGTTTGAGAACCCCTGATCTAGATATCGTATTTTTACAAACATGAACCTTTTGCACGTTGAAAAACAAATACGTAAAAACACAAAAACTTTATTTTTGAAACAAACAAAACCTCTCAAATCTGGATGCACATACAAAATGACTTTCTTAGAGGTAGAGCTAAGAAAAGTAATCGATCTGTGCGGCAGTAGAGGACTAAACAGACTGCGTTAAAGCAAACCTAACTCTTGTGTTTTGATTAAGTACGTATTAACACAATAAGAATACAGTAGTCCCTCGCTACTTCGTGGTTCGACTTTCATGGACTCACTCTTTCGCAATTTTTCAAAGTAAGATTGAACAAACAAAAAATTGTGGACGACACGATTGTCAACTTTAATATCACTCACGTGACTGGGACAGTACGGGATACTGTACAGTAAAAAGTTCACGAAAAATAAAATACTTCGGACTGGCGCCGCCATTTTGTAGTTTTCTTTCAATAAGCCTACGCTGTATCTCCGCTCACGACGACTACATTTCCCAGAAGCCAACAGTGCCTGGCCCAGAAGCTCTGTTGCCTTCTGCTGAAATACGTAGAGGGAAAGTTTTGATCTGATCAGAAAAAGTTTGATAGTTATTACAGTGACTTCGGCGCCCAGCGGATTCAGAGAGCTGCATGGAACCCACCGGGAACCAGAGCAGAACCGGAGCAGAACCAGACCTCCAGACTCATCAGTGAATCTGAGGGCTGCTAGCCGCCTTATGTCCGACTTCTCTCAGGAGCTCAGCGGGACGTTTTTTTTTTCATCCAGATTTGGACTCAGTCTGGTCCCGTGCTGTCCATATGAAAGTCCGGCTCCCTCCACAATGCGTTTTGGTGCTCAAGTGTTTCACAGGACTGGAGAAGAACCGGCAGGATAGGTCTGCCGGACCGGAACCGAGTCGCTGTTTCTGCAGAGCTGGTGAGAAAAAATTTGCAGTACTGTGCAGTACATATATGTACTGTATGTTGTTAAAATGATGTAAGTTTTAAGAGTTTAGAACATTATGGGCTTCGTCACTGCAGGGTAGGTCTGCAGAAACAGTACCGAGTCGGACCGGAACCGAGCGGAACTGAGAGATGCTGCCATTCTGCTGAGTAAAATTTAGTAGCTACATATACGTATGTCATTAAAATGACGTAGGTTTAAGAGTTTAGAACATTGCATGAGTGTGGGAAAGCTTGCCTTAATGTATATATAAATAGTAAAATAAATATAACGTCCCTGCTTCGTGGATTTTCACTTATATTGCGGGGTGGGGGTGGGGGGGTGCGTCGGAAACGTAACCGCCATAATAAATGAGGTACTACTGTAAGTTATTACATATTTAGCACAAAATTACACATAATAGCACAAAAGTAATGAGTCAAGCTCACCTTCCCTGATACAATCTTCTCATAGATTTGAATTGGCTGATCGGCAAAAAAAGGTGGATACCCCGCTGCCATCTCATAGACAAGTACACCCAGCGCCCACCAGTCCACCGCCTTGTTGTACCCCTTTGGGGATGAGCAAATGGGGAAAAAAAACCTGGTTATACAACATTAGCATTTGATGAAATTTAAAGGAAAGTTTTAGTTTAAGAATTATTTTCTTCTTTGTTTAATAAATACGTGCGTGACCAGTATCCAACAACAGTCAGAAACATTTACAACACATTACGTTCTTAGCTTTACTGACATATTGTGTGTGTTAATAGGATACGAGATGTAATCATGCTCTAAATGTGTACAACTTATTTAAATAGAATCAAGCCATACCACTTTAAGGTTCATACTAAAGTTACATTACATTCAAATCATTAGGGAAATAAGTGTTTTAATCCTTTTTTATATTGCCAAAAACACATCTTTAAATTGTATTTTATAAAGGTGGAAATATGCTGGGTCACCTTGCTGAGAATAATCTCTGGGGCCAGATATTCTGGGGTGCCACACAGTGTCCAGGTCCGGCCCTTTACACGTTTGGCAAAGCCAAAATCTGTAACCTGACAGAATAAGAGGAAAAAATATATATCAAATAAGACAGATGTTTCCTCAGAAGAGAGCAGAAATGTGTCAGCAGCTGTTATTTCACAAATAACCACAAGAGGGCAGAACAATCATTAGTAGGAGCCAAACAACTGCCAGCACCACTGATCAACCAGACTTTCACCTTTATTTAAAAGCATGCAGTAAAATGTGGAGAAAACACCTTTATAACCAACTATGACTTTGGGAGCCTGTGTTTGAATGACTTTATGGCAAATCGGGGTCAGGAAAATTCCTTTTTATCTAATCACAGCAGTGAATGACGCTGTCCAGACATTTTACAGCCGAGATCAAAAACAACACCAGCTTCAAAGACGGTCATGGTCCGATTCATGAACACAACAGGTTCAGGTTACCAGAGATCATCTTACAGATAGATCGTGGCATCCAACATGTCCTCAGACCACTATCTATCAAATTAATCTATAATTATGTTGACAAATACTACTCTGCCATGAGCCTGTCAACAGACGGCAGAGACAGAGAAATTAAAAAGTGTTTCATGGTCATTCTTGATGTGATGAGCAACACCATCACTACAGACTGACACAGTTACTCTGAACGACACATGTAGACAAACTCCTAAAATGAAAGCAATAACAACTAAATATTATGGGTAAAGTACAAGATAACAATACTTTATGTGAAATAAATACATGTTGATTTGAAGAGGATGTAAAATGGAATTGAAACAGAGGACTTTAGTAAAAACTAAAGCCCGACCGATATATTGATAGGGCCGATATTTTAGGTCGATATGTGTTTGGGGAAATATCGTATCAGTGATAATCGTCCAATTATGCGCCGATATAAACACTTCTAATGTTCACCCATAAAATGCTGGGAACGAGCCGTGTCCTTACTTGTAAATGGGGTAATTGTACAATGTATCCAGCAGAGGGCGCATGCGGACTACTTTTAAACTTTAGCCAGGACAATAAATCTAATGTAGAGGTAAAAATATATATTAGTGTTGTAACATTATCTTTGTTGTCCTCTGTGAAATGCATTGTTTGTCTGAGACCTTAAATTCTCTGGGGGATGGGGGTGGGGGGGTGTCAATACTAATTAGACCTTCACCATAGAGCTGTCATTTCTAACCCAGGTCTGGCCCGACCTGAATTTGGGCCAGGCCATGATAATGTGCTGGATGGGCGGGCCGGGTCGTGTCGGGCTTTTGATTGAGTCAGCGGATCAGCCGCGATCCAATTATATGACAACATGGCTTGCCACACTATCTAATTATATGGCAACCTGGCTTGCCATACACTCACCAGCCGCACGCTGCCATTTCACTGTGAGCTGACTGGCCTTGAAAGAGGTAAAATAAAGTTCAGTTGAGCTTCAGATGGGACTACCGGTAGGCTACTGCCAGGAAGCGATCCATCAAAGCCCAAATGGACGTTCAGCTGCTGCACTCGGCTGATGCGCGCGGCCGATGACCCAAACAGGTGAGGTTCCAAAGCAGATATGTCAGAGCAGGGTCCGTGTCTGAATAATGCAGAAGCAGTGATTTAATGCGCTTTGACAGCCATAAAAGGACAAACACCCCCTCAGCTCCGATCTTCTGTCCCCTTTTATTCAGCCGCGCATGTCCGCTGACCGTTAATAACTATATAAGAAGTTAAAGCTTAATTTAAAAAAAAAATTTTGGGGGGGGGGGGGGGGGGGGTTGGGTTTGGACCTGTAATTACTGTTAATTCATCTGGTCGGTTGGGGTTTGGAAATGATGGCTACGGGCTGGGGCTGGGTTGGATCGGATTTTTTGGGCCCGGATGCAACTCTACTTCCCCATATGTTTAAACAATGAACAGGGAAAGGTGTTTCTTTGTTTGATTTATAGTTTATAGTAACACACGTGATAACTTTACAGTGAATAGTGTAGGATAGGAAACATGAACGCACGTTAGAAAGACTCTTTCAAGACTCTTTCAAGACTTCAAGTGTTAAGTTTAAAAGCAGCTGTTTACTTACATTATTGGGGGTGGACAAAGCTCAAATTTTTTTTATTTTTTTTATCTTCCCCTCCGTTCCATCGGTATTAGCTATAGCCAAAATTTCCATACCAATTGGGCTCTACTAACCTCTGTCAAATTATTCAAAACTTTCTTTAAAGTACTTCCCAATAACCTGTTTCTTTAAACAATTTGTTTACAGAGAACCAGTATTTGGAAACTGCTTTTGAAAATTGTCAAACTATACCTCTTGTGTGATTTGATGAACCATCTGTATATCAGTATATCACTGATCAGCTTCAACCGATCAGATTTAAGAAGTGAAGCCTGGAGATGTACTTCATCTCATACAAGATCAAAAATGAATAGTTCTTCAGTGTCTCTTGTTCCACCTCTTAGGAAGTTCTCAGCACCATATTTTTCAGACTATAAGACGCACTTAAAATCCTTAATTTTTCTCAAAAACCAACAGTGAGCCTTATAATCCGGTGCACCTTATAATCCAAAAAATACGGTATTCCCAGCAAACAATATTTTTATCCAGTTTACGAGTGAATTATTGACATTTATTAACCAAACAAGATATTTATATTCCATTTGACATCACTATTTTCAAGTTTTCTAGATTCTAGGTAGGAGTGTTTAAAGACACAAATAATTATTCAGTTTTTGTTGTACAATAGAGCTTTGGGTCATCGACAACAAAATAAAAACAAAGCTCACAGCAAAACCTCAACATTATTTTTTTTATCAGATAGCTAAAAATGTGTGCCACGAGCCACACACAAAGTCATACATTCCTTAGAGGAGACGCTAAAAAATACAGGTGTATTTTAGCGTCTTCCTGTGCTTTCACACTAAAATCTCTTTACTATGGATTGTGTGAGTATGAAAGGTCAAAAAATGGAATTTAACTAAACAATATTGTAGCTGAGTGAGTGAGTAATTTAAAAATCTAATAAAATACACGGACACGAGTGCAATCTGTACAGTTTAGTGCTTTTTTTTTAAAGGAACTGTCAAATGAAAAGCTCCACCTCTGAATTCACTCCAGGTTTGGTGCAGAGGCTGAGGCGGCTGCAACGGGTTTACTGACCTGGATGTAGCCCTGCTGGTCTATGAGCAGGTTTTCAGGTTTTAAGTCTCTGTAGATCAGGTCCAAAGCGTGCAGGTACTCAAAGGTCAGAACGATCTGAGCGGCATAGAACCGAGCGTGCGGCTCACTGCGAAAACACAAACGTGGCAGAACAGACAGTGAGGAGGGTCGTGGAGATCTGCAAGAATTAGGACTTAACTGATGAAAGTACAGAAAAGAGTAGTCGACAGTTTGAAATGTCTTTTTTTTTTTTTTTAGACATTATTAAACGCCTCTTCCTTTATGTTTCACTGCCCAAAAACACTGACCTAAATCTGCCGATTCTTCGTAGATGGGAGAACATTTCTCCACCTGGTACGTACTCCATCACCATGTAGAGGTTGGTGTTGTCCTGGAAAAGGAAGACCCGAGGTCAGTGTCAATAACGCACACACAGGTATCAATGTGCTTCAGTCAAATAAAGAACATGGATTAAACAAACAACACATGGCAATCAGAGACTCATCCTGAACTAAATGAAAATAAAAAAACATTATTGTTTATAGCAGGGGTGTCAAAAGTGCGGCCATTTTTTTGCCCCGTGAGTGATATTGTGCAGCCCACGACTGCAGTTTAAGAAAAGTATAATTCTGGCCCCTAGTCTTAAGAAACTGATTCAAATAAATTCAACTGTAGCAAATTTTAAGGGTGATATCTTTCTATTTTTTATTTTAACACAAAATTCAAGATAACATGATCTTAAAATTAGAGCCCTGACCGATATATCGGTAGGCCCAATATAACGGTAGGCCCGATATATCGTAGATCCGATATATTGGTAGGCCCGATATATCGTAGACCCAATATATTGGTAGGCCTGATATATCGGGCCTACGATATATCGGTAGGCCCGATATATCGGTAGGCCCGATGTATTGTAGGCCCGATATATCGTAAGCCTGATATATCGGTAGGCCCGATATATCGTAGGCCCGATATATCGTAGGCCCGATACTGTATTTTAGGCTGATACAGGCAATGGGGACATATCAGTATCAGCGATAATTGTCCCATTATGCACTGATATAAACACTTGAAATTTTCACCCCTAAAATTCTGGGAACGAGCTGTAATGTATAAATGGCGTAATTGTACAATTCTATCCAGCAGAGGGTGCATGTGGACTACTATAAAGTCAAAGCCGTGCCATTTGACTCACAGAACAGCTGAAACAGTGAGCAGCTAATTACTGTGTAGCATATTTTGCTAAACACAGCAGGGTCAACCTATTGCAATTTATCTATGAAATAAAATTAAAATTCAACAATAATAAATTATCTTCAATCCTCCAACCAGCTTGTCATTAGCTATGTGCCTCTCAAGTTAGCAAGCTAACGTTAAGATAACTTAGACTATTGCCTTGTAAAACTTTATCCAGACGACTAAATCCAACGTAGAGGTAAAATATTTCAGTGTTAGTAACGTTATCTTTATCGTCCTCAATGAAATGCATTGTTTGTCTGAAATCTTTACTCCTCTGCCAAAAACAAACAAACAAACAAACAAAAAAACCCCAGCTGTGATCAATATTAATTAGGCCTTCACCATACGTGACGGATTGTTTAAACTATTTTTGTAACGCACTTAATAACTTTATGGTGAATAGTGGAGCACAGACATTTTAAACACATGTTAGGAAGACCGTTTCAAGATGTCAAGTGTTAAAACAGGTTTAAAAGTAGTTGTTTACTTTGCAGTGTTTCCCCTACCATTATCAAAGGAGGGCGCCGTGCCTTGTCAACAGAATCGAGCGCCCCACCCACTATGCAGCTCCGCCACTTCCGGACGGGGAGCAGAGATTAGCAGCACATCTCAGACTCCAAACAAATGTAGCGCTAAGCTAACCAATCCCCACCTCCTGCATGATGTAGCGCTCTGCTTCTCTCACCCCCACCCCATTGACAAGAACTCCAGAAATCAAATATTTTCAGCCATTATATCGGTTATTGGCATCAGCAATACCCACAATTTCCATATTGATAGGGCTCTACTTATAATGTGTTATAATTACACAGTTGTTTACGTCTTTACAGAACCACACTTTTTTTTTGTAGTTTCATAGAGAAGGATCACAAACTTTAGTAAGTACCCGTAAAAGGAAATTGGACTTGGTTAAAGGAATTTACATACAGTTTAACAATTGCCAGTACACCACTTGCTTGGAGTGGGGCATCCATAGTGCCAGATGATTTCTGACAAATGTCTCTCTGTTGGGATTTAAACTGTGAACCCACAAAATTTTCACTTTAAGAATCTACCACCAGGTCACACAACCACACTTTAGCTACTTAAAAAATAAATAAAATAAAAAATAAAAGTGACTCATATTTTACTTTTGTTCTTGAGAATAGACTAAAACTTTCCAAACATTGGGAAACAGATCAACAAACCCAACAAATCCAATGAACTGAATGTGTTTTTGTTAATAAGGTAAGTGATTGTGAGGATTTTTAGTTTTGGAACTATGATTTGAAACTCCTTTTACAACAAAATTATTATGCATTTGCTCCTCCATTAAAATATTACGTAATTTAATGAAAAAAAAGCATCTTCTAAGCCATAATTCTAATTATTTTGGCCCCATGAGTATTTTCAACTTGAAAATTTTGGCCTGTGGGTCAAAAAGTTTGGACACTACTGGTCTATATGGTAAGAAGTGGTGACATCTAGTGCTACATTTGCAAACAACTTAATACCGCCCAACAACTCCTAAACTGTGGTGACCAAAAAATCCACTCTAGTGCCAGTGTTCAGTTTGTACCATTTGGGCTACCGTAGAATATAACTTATCAACAAGAATGAGAGGAAGTGAAAGCAGAGTGCAGCGACTCTAGACTAAAATGGTTCATTATAGGATTCTAGCAGCACGATGGCGCAGTTGGTAAAGCTGCCGCCTGTCAACGAGAAGGTCACAGGGTCAAATCCCGGCCGAGGACTTTCCTGGGTGGAGTTTGCATGTTCTCTCCGTGCATGTGTGTGTTTTCTCACAGTACTCCGGTTTCCTCCCAGAGACTAAAAACATGCATGTTAGACTGATTGGTAACTCTAAATGGTCCCTAGGTGTGAGTGAGAGAGTGAATGGTTGTTTGTCTCTATGCGTCCCTGCGATGGACTGGAGACCTGTCCAGGGTGTCCCCCGCCTCTCGCACAGTGACTGTTGGATTTGAGCACCAGTGACCCTTGCAGCCCCAAAAGGAAGAAGCGAGTAAAGTTAATGGATGGATGGATTATAGGATTTTAAATACAAAACTAGGCTTTTAGTTCTACACTAATAAAAGTTGGTTTATGAATATTTTCCATATTTCTGCCAATGGAGCGGTTTACAACTTGAACTGAGCAGATACGGGGAGTGTTTATTGCCTTCTCTTTCACCTGTGTGCAAAACGGCACACATGGATGGTTAATAGGTTTATTTAAGGTGCCAAGAATGTTCAATCCCTGGGAAAACAGGTGCATCTAAACAGCTTAACCTGAATAGGGACATAATTGGCGTTTGCTCCTCATCTAAAGTCTGTGTAAGTTCAAAGTGCTGCTCACGTGGCAGACGCAAAGCGAACTCCTCTCCACTGCTGATGCCACACCTCTTACAGGACTGGTAACAAAAAAGAAGTAATAATAAGGTTACAATCAGGGGCTTCACGTTAAAAAAGCAAGAGATGGTGCTCCCTTGGCTAACACTGAAAATAAGCCTATTATTACTGATAAATAAATTATTTTGAGGCTGATCATAGAGATCTTGTGCCTAAGCCTCACAAAGCCCCACTCAGTGGATCTATCTCCCGCTCCATCCTACCATCACTTGTGAACAAAGCTTTGAACTCCTCAGCCTGAAGCAAAGATTTCTTCTCTACCCAATGGAAGCATTCCATTCCACATTTCCAGTTGAATTTATCAGTCATTTGTAATGGACAACTGTCTGCTGTTTTAACGAAGAATAAGTTGTGCTTTACAGTGACAAATAAACAATGAGTTACCGTGTTGTTCTGAAACTGCCCCTTCAGCTCTTCGTGACATTTTGGCCTCTTTTAGCTGTTACCTTCTGACGGTCAACAGCATCACCTAAAGTAGCAGCAAGCACCAAGGCAAAGTAGCCCAAAACAACAAAGTTAGGAAGTACAGCAGTTTCTGAGCAGCTGCAAAGCCTAAAATTCTCCTCAGGGGTGGCTAGAGACTTAAACATAACTAAATTTCATCAGGCAGGTACAACCGGACTCAGAAGGAAAGATAAAGTCTGTTGGATGTGTAAATTGGGAATTGTTTAATCATAAATTCCCTATTTCAAATAAAAAATATACAATAGCATCACTCAGGGAGTCTGGATTCCACTCCCCCTCCAAAACAGGAGACTAGAGATCTCAAAAAGTCACAAGACTCTTGACATTTTATTTATTTACAGTAATTTATCAAATAAAATATAATTTCTTCTTTGTTTATGGTTTGCTATGTAAATTACAAAGGCTGAGCCTGACATAGTTTTCCAAGGTCTTCATGCACAGATCTCATCAATGTCATATTCCTATCATCTCTTGAAGAACCCAGTTAGGTATTACTTCTAACTTCCAAACGAACAAATGATCAATATGTTGCAGACAGCGACTGAATCGGTAATATAACAGACTTATTAATGATTCTATTAAACTGTAAGTGCATTTCAGACATCATGTAGAGGCATAATGAGTCAAGAAGAGCCTATAAAAAGCAACTGCTCCCAGAGAATATCAAACTATAATGGCTTGTCTGTTACAACAGGAAGTGTAATTGTGACTTAAAAGATATATCTTGGAAAAAGGGTGACACTTTCCTGTGAACACTGATGGTTCGGCTCAGGTGAATAACTGCAGGTTATAACATCAGTTCACAGTGGAAATCATTTCAAATTTAAAACAGTGAGTTTTGATTTTAGATTTACCACAAGTTTATTTTTATATGCAATGACAAACAAATTTCCATCTGATAAGACTATAAAAATGAATCAGATGCTACATATAGAGTCAGGACAGAACAGCTAAGTTTTCCGACAAACCAGGAGGAAAAAGAGAGGTTTTATTGTTTGTTTACAGTTTGGTGCCGGAGGTAAAGGTAGAGTATGAAAAAAATCCCACTCAACAACACTGAGCTCAAGACTTAGCAGCGCTGAGCATCATGAAGATGTACCGTAATTTCTGGACTATTGAGCGCACCCGAATATAAGCCACGCCCACTAAATTAAAATAACAATAATAATTTTGTACATATATAGGCCGCGCTTGTATATAAATCGCGGGAGTCTACGGTGAAACATGAAATATTTAAACAGAAAGTTTTTTAGACTTTTAATTAAGTATGTACAAGTAACATACACAAATATGTACAGTAATTGTTTTTGTTTTAACAGAGTATGTAACATCGTAGGTAAAAATAAATAAATTAATTAATTAATTAATAATAATTTAATAAAAAAATAATGATAATAATGTCATCACAATGCCAGCACTGTATGTTTCCATACAATGGCAAAATTAGAGTCTGCATTTAACCCATCCACCACCAGGTGGTGCAGTGGGCAGCTATTGAAAGCACCCGGGGGGCGTTTTGGGGATGAGGTGTGCTGCCCAGAGACACCACGCGGTATGCAGTGACTGGGGATCGAACCTGACTTTCGGGTTCCAAGCCGGCTGCCCTGCCTCTACACCATCTCGGCCCCCATATACATATGTATATGTATATACACATACATACGTATACATATAGTAGCCCACCAGGAAGTCATTGATCACTAACTTCATCTTCCTCCTGCAGTGGATTTTTTTACACTGATCCACTGTCAGGATCCACTGGAGAACATGAGCAAAAATTGCTCTGCGTGTGCAGCCAGTTTTGGTTAACAATTTCTTGCCACTAGTCATCCAAGCCTCCCACCGAGCTCAAAGTGCCACATCAATGCACGATTCACTTATTTTGAGTGGCTGCAAATACTTTGTTGTGTTGGGGGCACAACAGGGAGGGGAGGCGAGAACGGGGGTGGGGAGACGAAGTTTCGAAACGAGCGCCTGGGTGTGACGAGGCTAAATGTTTTGGAGGCATGAAGCTCGTTAGCCCGTCAAAAAAATATATATTTTTCTTTAATCCATAAATTAGCAGCAGCATTGAATAAGCCGCTGTTGTTCAAAGCGTGTGAAAAAAGTAGCAGCTTACAGTCCGGAAATTACGGTATGTGGTGGTCGTTTAGCTAAATAACAGCCAACAGATTTGGCACAATTGCGATGAGCAAAAACTTTTCTGACAACAAAAAACTGGTTACTTTTAATGTGGACCACCTTAAGGCAGTACCTTACTGGACAGCAATTGCTGGAGAATAGTTGGAGACTTAAAATTGACAATAATGTGAGAAAATAAAAAGCATATTTTCCGTTGCAGAGGCACTGAATTTCGAATGTTTGCAACCAGCAAGTTTCACATAGTGTTTGGTGCCTCCAGTTTTTTGAAAATACCAACAAATTTTTGTGCATGGCTTGCAAAACTGTATTCTAGACCGTGCACATGCACACCTGCACCTACATTATACCTGCCTAGGGCTCACTTTGTTACCATCTTGGTGGCTGCCCCCACATTTACAATCTGATCTCCTGGGGTACACTTTTCAAATAAAGATTAGCAGCAAGAAGGGTTTGAGATGAGTTTGATACGCCCACAACGACTGAGGATTTTCATAAAAAAATGTGTTGTACCAATAGTTTTGTGTGTACAGTAGTCCCTCATTTATCGCAAGGGATCCGTACCCTGAAGTCCCGCGATAAGTGAAAAACCGTGAAGTAGGAATAGTTGTATAAGTTGTATATATATATGTATATATATATATATATATATATATAAAGGCGATTTAAACCCTTCCCACACTCTTGCAATATTCTAAACAACTCTAAAGCTCTAAAAGAGCACAGAATGTCAAAATTTCAGCTCCCTGCCTCCTCTGCTCTCAGCCACCTGCAAGCACTCTTGGCCACGCCCACTTCCCAGCTCTGCACGGAGAACAGCTGATCAGCTGCAGCAGGAAGCATATCCTGCAGAACGGGCTGCACAAAGGTGCAGCAGGTGCTAAATAATTTCAAACAATTCACTTTAAATAAAAATTCCATATCGATCGTGCGGCTCATCCATCAGTCAGCCAACTGTGTGTCATGTCCAATCTTATTTTGAAAAACCACGACAGCGTGAGTCCGCGAAAAGTGAACCGCTAAGTAGCGAGGAACTACTGTACAGAGTCTGCCTGGACCAATACATTTTAAATTAACTGCAACGTTTTTCATGCATGGGGTTTAATCAGTCTACAGTTACAGAATAATGTTGCAGACCTATCTTGTTGTTCTGCTTTGTCTGGGGTGGGACATCCAAATGTGTGAATAGTCAGCAGGCCGAGCGGATACATTTCTTTTTACATCAAACAGGCCATGTGAGCAAGCAGATGCAGAAACTATTAATTAGCCTTTAAAAGGTGAAATGATGGCTGAGGTGAAAAACAAAAACTCAAACTTGTCACACGTGTCAATACGCATCCACTGCAGCAGGAAAAGTGGTCCGTACCTTGAAGGAATACTCTAACCGCACGAGGAAAGGAAAGGTGACAGCCTGAAGAATCCTCTTCTCGTTTAGAGTGTGCTCTATCTGCTTGAGCTTCACCACCTGCAGGGCGACGCACACAGGAACATAAGAAGTTTTGTTTTCTTCAAATAAAAGAATGATGAAAGTTCATGTGAATATTAACAAAAAGAACCCACTTTTTTTTTGTCAAAAGCAGAATTAATAACATTAACATCGTCACACCGACAGTTAAAGCCCAGTTCAGTTTTCAGCTTTTTATCTTTAGAAAAGGTTTTAAAAAACTGTGAAGTAAAACAACAACAAATGACGCATTAATCATCAAATTCCTTTGATCATTACTTCAATTTAAATGAAATAAGCAAACCTTGAAGGTACAGGCTTCAAACAACGATATTATGTGACGTGTTAACCCTCAGACAACATGTTGGGTATGACTCTCAGCTACTACTACGCCAAATTTAACCCCAATATATGTCAAGCTGACTGAATAATAACTATTTTTGTGTTTGCTGAGGTCAGTCAGCAGTGGGGGCCATCAAGTTGACTCCAAAAGTCAATCAGTTGTAGATGTCCATCCACTCACTACATTCTGAGAGTTTCAATAAAATCCATCCAGCAGTTCATAATTTATTTTGCTAACAGACACAAACAATCGCACACAAACACAATTATGATTGCTTACTTTTCACGACAACAAGCAACAAAAACAAACATTTAGAGATCAGCATAAATGTATCGTATAGTTAGAAATAGACATATAAATTCACCAACAATTTTAACTGACCTACAATACTGTATATTGACCACTTAAAAAAAAAAAAATATATATATATATATATATATATATATATATATATTCACTTACCAAGTAGGAGAAAGAAGATGCTGCTACAACCAGCTTACCTTAACCCACAATGACCTTCTAAATATTATTTTTAATTGTACAAGATCTTTTAAAGGTCGTGGATTTATGTTAAGTTGGGCATCAATTGTTATAGTTTGTTAAATAAATTAAAAATAAATAAACACCCATTGACCAAAAAGTTGAAAATAAATACATAAATAAAAATCTGTGTTGTGTATATCAGCCATCGGCTGCTCTGATTTCCAAAGCAAATATCATATCTAACAATATGTAATTATAGTTGAACAGCACATTTACAAAAAAATAAAAAAAAGCTCATATTAGTTTAAGAAGTACAAGTTATTTAGTTTGCTTTTTTCCCTCTCAGATATTCTTCAAACTGTAAATCTTTGTTAAATAAAAAACCTGATTTTGATTTTAATGTTCATGGAATTAACTTCAGTGCACGGTGAACAATCACACAACACATATTCATCATTTATCCAACCATCCGTACGTCTATCCATAATTAACCTAACGTGCATGCGTTTGCTCACGCATGCACGAGAAGGACATGCAAGCGTCGTTCGCACAGAAAGGCTCCAGTCTGGGAGGCAATTCTGTGACGTTCTCTCTGAGAGGCGACACCTCTAACCGCTGCGCCTCTGTCCCACCAATCCCAAGTTCAGCAGGAGATATGAACAGTCAACTGTTGAGTTTGTGGTTAATTTGAACGGATTGAGCTTGTGTTGAAAATCTGCTTATTTCTTAACATCTATGAATGTTATTGATATGAGGGGAAACGCAGGGCCACAGTTTTAGTCTAAATTGCTGTACTTGCAGCAATCTGTATAAAGACAACTCCAGATGATGCGTATTTTAGCACAAGTGGGTTCAGATCAAGCTTGCACCTGGATATGATAGCTCCAGTCCTTTCATAGCATCCATACATGACTTGATTGAGCTGCATTGTCAACGTTTTTATGTATTTTTTAAAGATCATCCAGCAGAAACATTAACCATGAGTTTCCCTCAACAAAAGCACAGTTTAAACATGTCTGTGAACCTTAAAACTCCTGGCCCAGACTAACCTTTTGCTTATTGAGGATCTTCATGGCATAATGCTGTCCTGTTTCTCTGTGCTTCACCAGCATAACTCGTCCAAACGAGCCCGTGCCCAGGGTTTTCAACCTCTCGAACTGCTCCAGGCTAGAAGTGTTCTGAAAACAAAAACCCCGGCGGTTACTTAGCACATTCTTGTGAACGCAGGAACACCAGGAGTCACGTTGCAACAGGTGAATATTTAATTTCAAATAGTCTTAGGCACATCGTTAATCTTCGAGTTGAACGAGCAACATGCGCTGTAATAAATGCAATGCATCAGCGTGCCAGCAATTACAATCATTTTATGATCTACCGTAATTTCCGGTGTATAAGCTGCTATTTTTTTCACACGCTTTGGACAACGCAGCTTATACAATGCCGCGGCTAATTTATGATTTAAAAAAAAAAAATTAAATTTACTTTTGTAATTTTTACGGTAATTTTTTTTTCATGGGGTTAACAAGCTTCCTGCCACCAAAAACATTATTTACCGGTAGCTTTGTCACACCTTTGTCACGGAAGTGGAAAATTCCATCAGAATTTTTTATTTTTTTTACCAGCTGTGTTAAAGACAATGTTCAGAAAAGAAAAAATAATAATTTACCGTACTGTACGTAGCTTATTTTGTGTATGTTACTGGTACATATTCAAGTAAAAGTTTTAAAAAATCTTTCTGTGTACGGTAAATATCGCTCACCGCGAGAGAGAAGGAGGGGGGGATTTCCCCGTGAGTCATGTGACTCGTGTCACTCTGGCTGCAGAGCAGGAGTTTAAATTTATTTATATACCTGTATAGCACTTTAAAAACAGCAGTTGTTTCCAAACTGCTTAACAATAAAAATCAATGGCAGTAATTTAACGAACATTTACTGTAACGTAGTATTTTACCGGTACGTATTAGGCTGTGGTTGACTGCTGGTCACATGACCTCAGGTAGGGATTGTGGATAACATTTACCGGTATGTTCATTTTTTTTTACATTTTTGGTTACGTAGGTTTTAGCATTGTTTTCTCCAGTGATTCTAGGGATGCACGATATTGGATTTTTGGCCAATATCCGAAATGTTAAAACTTATTTGGCTGATAACCGATATCAATACCGAGATTTTCCCCCCTAGACCTACTTACAGAGACTACATAGCTTTCTGCTACCAAATGCAGATGACACAAAGGGGGCTGAAAATGATGTAACACTTCAACTTGGATTATGTTTACTCTCTCTAACACGACAACACTCGAACAGTGTAAATTTGTAAATTTTCACAAATCTAAACTCAACCTGTTCACAAGTGAAAAGTAGTAGTGTATTAATATATATACTTGACAGTTTCTTAAATTAAAAATTAAGTTAAAACAGAAGCCTTTCATATCGGTGAGTTATTTTGATGGAATGGCCAATGTCCAATATTTAACTTTATCGCCAATATTGGCCGATATCGGTACCATGCCGATAATATCGTGCATCCCTAATGAATACCGGTAGTGTGTTCTTAGACTAGCTTTTCTGTTCATTCAGTAGGTTGTAGGTTACCGTATTGAATAGAGTAACCACAAGTCAGAAAGGGTGTTATCATGAAGACCTGTGAGGAACACACAAACTAGTCTATGAAACGCCATCTGGTTTCTATCTAGTAAACATTCTATAAGGAAGTGTGTACAGTTTCTGATATTAAAATGTGGATACCTGTGGCTTATACACAAGCGCGGCTTATTTATGTACAAAGTTGCATTTTATTTTACATTTAGTGTGCGCGGCTTATAGTCAGGTGCATTCTATAGACTGGAAATTATGGTACATGATATTTTGTTTACAGGATGAAACTTAAGTGAGCACAGCAGGTTATTAATAGTGAACTTTTTGAATGAGTATAAACTCTGTATTTAATACTATTATTGTTTGCACTAAACTTGTGAAAATTCAATCCTGATTGAGACCTACGTAGCAATATTGTCTATTACGAAAAAAATGCATTTGTGTTAGTTTTCATAACTTCCTCAGTCGGGATAAAATATCCTTCCTTCTCGTTTTTCCACTTCTTAAAAATCATTTTAAATATTTAACATGAAATTTTATTTTATTCAATTTATGTATCTTTTTAGCCTAGTAATATTAACTTTTACCCTTTGTCACCTACTCCCAACATGCAAGTGAGGTTCACTAAAGGCTAACAAATACCAAAAACTGTAGCTACAAAATCACAGCAACGCATCTAAATGAGGCGTATATATAAGAAAATAACAAATATGTACATTTTTGATGAAACATGGCATTTTTTATGATGCAAAGAGAAGACTGTATAATAGACTATCAGAACAAACAATGACTTATTATTGAGTGTGAAGATTATTATTGTGCATATTATTATTGGCCTGAATCTCAGCCACAAAACCTGACTGACATTCTGTGTTCAGTGCCGTTTAGAATAAAATGAATGTTAAAAAGTCCTTGGTGGAATTATTTAGCGTTGCAGTGGTTTGTCTTCCATTCTGGAAGAGTTTCTCCACTGGCTTCCTATTAAATGTATAGATTATAGGGATGCACGATATTATCGGCATGGTAGCGGTATCGGCCGATATTAGCGTTAAAGTTCAATATCGGCCATTCCATCAAAATAACTCACCGATATAAAAGGTGCCGTTTTTGTATGAGAACCCAATGACAAGGATGCCTGCAGCGGCAGAACAACGTGATGACGTCACGTGCGCCTACCTGATCTGATCACGGCGAAGAAAAAAAAAAGTCAAAATGCCGGCGGTGTGGAAGGTTTTTTTCATTGATAATGTCGGATTCTGAAAATTTGTGGACTACGTTGAGCCTCGCTACATCGTCCCCAGTCGGAGATATTTTTCCGACGTAGCCTTATCCGAGTTACACGCCGTCGTTTCCGACGTCATTGAGAAGCTAATAGCCGATAGCACTGGGGTGAGTTTTACCACAGACATCAAGTGTTAGCCCCGTTAGCATGATTAGTTTTACGGCACAATGGATAGACAAAAACTTTGAACTTAAAAAGTCTGTCCTTCATGCACAGGAGTGCAGAGGATCCCACACTGCAGCTATAGGAACCTGGAACAAGCCTCCACAAGTGAGACAGCATCGCAGGTGACTAATGCTAATAAATAACATTTAATATTTTTCATTTAATATAAGTTAAAGTGCTATGCATATCATATAGCTGTTACTGAATATATGTCACCAGCTCTTACAGCTGTTACACAATTTTTGTAGCAAATAAGCCTAAATAAGAAGACTATGTTCTGACAAAGGAAAGTATATAAAATATCAATCGGCCAAATAAGTTTTAACATATCGGCCAAAAATCCAATATTGTGCATCCCTAATAGAATATTTAAAAAATATTCTGTTTGTTGATACAGCTTCATATGACCAGGCCCCTGAATATTTTATCCAAACATATCCGCCCCAAATTACACTCTAGATATCTTAGATTATCTAAACTGGTTTTTTTTTTTATGTTTCTTGCTCCATAATCCAGACGAGTTAGTAAGATTATGTCTTTGCTGTCAAAACTGTGGAAACGCCTACTTGCTTTATTTGGATTTCAATAGCAATAAATAAACATTCTATTTATTAGAGAAGCTATATTATTAGTATTGTAAAGTTTGTCTTAAATCTAAACTTACATTAAGTATGGTGGGTGGAAGTCGAACTGAAGGCAGCAGACCTCATAAACACATGAAGACGTGTATAAAAATTACGTTTTTTTCTAATCAAATGTATTCAAATGTTTAGTATTTGGACATCAACTTTCTCTGCATCGAAGTTCACTGACCTGTGCAGGATTCTCCCACTTCTTGAGGAAGTCCTCTTTGGCTTTAGCAAGGAATTCCTTGACTGTCGGAGTAGAGAAAACACCAGAGATTTCATGGAACGGGGGCTTTAACGAGCCGTAAGCACAGATAATGACAGAAACTACAAAATGTACAAGATACTTTCTGAAGTTAGCTGGACAGAGCAGTAGCTGAATTCCTTACGGCTGCAGAGCTACTGACGTTCACCTCACAACCCAACAAGACACGAACAGCAACGTGGTCAATCCAAGCCTCACATTATTTGCATCTATCCACTAGTGCAGACTCAGTTAGGGTACTTAACTATTCACAACAAATGACCTAAAAGGAGACGTTTTTTTTTTTTAGTCAGTGAATTGTTGCTTTTAATTTTAAGGTGAATGTTGCTCATGTTTTCAATATTTATGATTATTCGGGTGTTATTCCCGTGAGAATAGCTCCTTCTGATGATCTCGATGCATACAATGCAACCCTCTGGGCATTAAAAACATCTAGTTGTCTTTCTCCAAGTTTCGTTGAGTCAGCGTTCACAGTTTCTCTGTTAATGTTTCTTCAGACTGTAACCACTTTAGCATGCTGTCAACTTTAACCATTCAAAACCGTCAGGACTTTTGGCTATATATATTTTTTTTCCTCATAAAATACATTGAAATCCTTAAAAAACCTGCTCTTTGAAATCTATTTCAGATGATAACTTTGGAATTTCAACTTCTGTTCAGATACCTTTAAGATGCAGTTTTTTTGGTGTTTTTTAAGCTTTTAGCTTCTGTCCATGCTTGATTTAACTTTCAACGTTCAATTTCAACTTGAGCAAATTTCTGCAAACTTTCTGCAAACATGCAACCTTCTCTAGTTGGACCAGTTAAATATAAAACTTAACGAACGATCATAAATAAAAGCGACAACAGTCTTGCAAACTCTGCCAGCATGCATGTGCATGATACAAAATACATTGTAGTTTCAGACACAACGACAAAAACTAAAGTCCAAATAAATGTCCTCTTTGACATGTGCTCAACATCAAGGCATCTCCTCCTTCTGTCCAGCAGTAATCTTGCATTTCGCAGACAGAACAAGATCTTCTATTATTGGCTCAACCAAACGAAATAACAAGTGTCAACATTATCTCTCTCCAAAGAGCAACAGGCACAGAGTGTTCAGGAAACATCTGACACATAGCTTGTTTCCTTGCCAAGATCTGAGTGGAGGAAGTGAAGATGCCAAGATGACTGCAGCTTACAAATGCTCCTGGGTGTTTTCTACAGCTCATATAAATAATATGACTTCAGCCTGCTCCATGGCAGCTTTGCATGCCCAGTCCACCAGTGATCCTGGTTTACAGATCTCAACAATGCCCCTGATGTGACTGCGTATTATGGAGGGGTTCTTGGCAAAGAGGATCGTGATGAAGGCACCAGGGACAGGCCGCGAACACGGCAGGTTTCGTGCAGCTAACCTCGCCTGCTGTGTCACGTTGTGTGATCGTGAGGATGCAACATCAGATCTGATCTGGGTACCCACCGCTTTCCATCTCGTTGCCTTTTCTTGCCGTGGGCGCGTTGCCCATGATGACAAGCTGTCAACTGGCAATCCGTGGCTTTCGGCCGCCCTGCAGCCTCCTCGAGCCGGTAACCTCGATAAGATGTGCCGGTGGACGGTGTTTCCTGAATCCAGCGGTGCGGAGCGTCAACTCCGAGGTCTGGCTCTTCTGCTAGCCGGACAGCTGCTGTTAATGCGGGTTATATACGAGGCGGGTCCGGTCCATCCACCGTACACCAAAATATGGTTTTAAATCCAACAGAAGGAGCTTCGCCGGACCGCCAGGCCGAGCTCGGTGCAGCTGGCCTGAACGCGGAGGAGACGGTCTCCGCCTGACCCTCCTTCCTCGCTTGCAGCCCCCGCCGAACGCGCGAGCCCCCTCCCCGGCTCCCTACCTCTCTCCGCAGCCCGAAAAGACAACCGCTACCAGAAGCGAGGATGCGGTATTCTCATTCCAAAGCGTTTCACTTTCCGTCAACGAGCCCAGCTCCTAAAAATAAAATTCTACCTCGGCGGGGTCCGACAGCGACGGGTTTTCACCCAAATCAACATCGGCCCCCCGTAGCCTCGGAGACCAGCGAGATGACGGAACTACAGCGGAGTAAACGTCCCGCCCACTCGCGAAGAACCGGAGTTGATTGACAGCTTAGCCTAGACTGCTGATTGGCCAGTTTACAAAGGCTGCTAGCAATACCTTGCGCTGATTGGTGAGTTGTGGCATCAATCACAACCGTGCCGTCCTACCGCCCTACACAAAGTGAACGAGAGAAACGTCACAGATTATTTTCCTCGCGACAACGAAAACGCCCACTTTCTTCGATTCTCGTCTCTCATTGGCTGAATGAGCACGAACCGTGGGAATCTCAGTGAATGTGGTGATGTTTATTGGCTGTCACTTGTGATTGACAGTAATGCTTCCCTTAAAAAAAACAAAAACTCCACCCCCCTCTTTCCCGCTGCCGGGCGACTGATACACGTTTGGCTGAGTGACGTCAACCGTGAGCTATTTTTAGAAATGTTGGTCAGAATTTAACGCGCGCGCGCAGCGCAGTGTGGCAGAAGACATCCAAACATTTCGAATATGTTTTTTTTTTTTTTTTTTTT